AAATTCAATGACAATATAATAATTAAATTTATAATATAGTAATTTCATATAACGGTATTAAAGTCGTATTATCATAAGCCATTAACACCTTGAAATAATTTTAGAAACAAACCAAATACTTTGTAAAAAAGTTCAACTTCTGATCGACTTCAATTAGGAGCGCAATATAATTTTTGTGCGGTGTGGGATTTTCTTCTCGAGTGAAAGCAGTTGACTTTGATTGCCGTTTGGACAACGCGTCGTATGATTGTTTTTAGCTTGGCTGCAGAAGGGCGAGACCGGCGGAGCCAAATTGATTTGTGCACGTGCACGGTTAGCTAATGAGGCACGGACCAAGCCAATGCTCCACCCGGATGCCGGATAGCGGATGGCATTCGGAAATGCTTTGGAATCGCCGCTGCCACTCTGCATTTTTCTCTGATCCCCGAGGCTCTTGCCCTGCGATGATTCTCCGGTTGCAACTGACAGGTTGCAGGGGATGGCAGGATGGCAGGATGTGTGCATCCTGGACAGCTGCCAGGTCAGGGCGGTTGCCATGTTCACTTAATTAACAACATTACGGCATTAACACACACACATCTGTGAAAGTTGCATTAAAGTTTTATAATAAATCTAATGGTCAACAAGGACAGAACTGTAATTTTGTTTGTTGGCTCGACTGACAGGCCAACAAGGGCGGGGATTGGGGGCGTGTCTGTGGCCCGCCTTTGTCTTTGCCTTTGCAATGGGTGACACATCGTCTAATGGTGCATTCGTGCATATGAAATTGCTGTCAACAAAGGGCAAAGGACTTCCTGCAACCGCAGGATGTGCTGCCCTAATGGGTTTGCTTGGCCTTAGTTATGGCAATCATGAGGTGACACATTTACTCTTTACCCGACCCCTGACCCCTCCTGACCTAGCCTAACCCCTAACGACAACCTCAAATTGCTTGGGGAAATCAATGACAAATCGAAAAATGAGCACGAAATGTGAAAGAAGGGGGCCTCCAATGCGATTGATAAGCGCCCTGTCAGGCGGGCCACCCACCTGGCAAACGGTGGGTGGCACAGAGGTGGTGTTTGATTACGCACCTGGGACCTTTCAACTTGCACACGAATGTCTGCCGCCACATCAAATCAATGTGTCTGTTGACAGTTTTAAATCTCCCAGTTAAATGCACAAAACTCTTAAGAAAATTATTAAAACGAAAAAGGATTTTAATTTAACGTCAGTTATATTAATGACAGTGACGGATATAGGATTTTGTTGTGGGAGGTGATATCAGATTATTTTTTTGTTCCATACTTTTTTATTACTAAAAATTCCTTTCATATTTTCCCGAGTTCGAGGTCTATATATCTATTTACTATACTATTTACTATTTAAAAAAAAATATTATAGTTTAAAAATATTCAATTTTAACAGACTTTCATTTTTATTTTTCTTTATTTATAATAAGGTAAACCTACTTTTTACTTAACAAATAAACTAAAAATCTGATTATATGATGTAAAATCATAGCAGCACAAAATCAATAGGCCAAGGAGGAATAATAAATATTTAACAAATAATTACACTGTGCAGCATTTTTAGTGCTTTTTAAATTTACCTCGATGGATGCTATATTTTTGGATTCGTTACGAATTCCCAAGTTAAACTGCGTTTTCCAAAAAGTTCCCCGACGCAAGGATTCTTAGCAAAAGGACCTCAAAGTTCGAAAAATGCTGAAATTGGCCAACTTTGCGGAGCTCTCAGAGGCAAATGGATGCATGGTTTGATTTGATGTTAAAGTTTTTTAAAAGATACACCCTTTATCTTTTAAACCCCATACTTAAAAAATTTTTACGATTTTTTTTTAGGCAGAAACAAATTCTAGAAAACATAGTCAAAAAACATAAAAGTATACAGCTGCGGTCAAATTGGTAGTAGTGTTGCCGCCCTGTGTATTTAAAAGTTTGTTGTTGTAATTGATCTTTTCCTGGTAATATTGTATTGATTATAATTTTACTATTAGACTAATTGGATAAGAAAAAATTACAACATGAAACTTTTAAAAACACAAGGCGGCAACACTGCTACTATTTTGACCGCAGCTGTATGTTTTTCAGTTGTTTTTTGGAATTTATTTCTGCCTTAAAAAAAATCCTAAAATTATTTTATGTATGGGGTTTGAAAGATAAAGGGTGTATCTTTTAAAAAACTTTAACTTCGAACCAAGCCATGCATCCATTTGTCTCTGAGAGCTCCGCAAAGTTGGTCAATTTCAGCATTTTTCAAACTTTGAGGTCCTTTTGCTAAGAATCCTTGCGTCGGGGAACTCTTTGGAAAACGCAGTTTAACTTGGGAATTCGTAACGCATCCAAAAATATAGCATTCATCGAGGTTTATTTTTGATGCTGCATAGTGTTATTAATAGATGTGTTAATTATCCTACTATTCATTACATATTTCCCCATCAAAAAACCTTATTAGATATGGAAATTCCTAAGTAGTAATTATTAAAGATTGGAAATCGTTTAAATGTTAGCTTTCGAATTTAAATCCCGGAATATTTGCCTTTGCGGTCGACAAAATAAAACAAATTAAAAATGAATATTTTATGGTGAATGTGTGAAGCCCAGCCAGCCATCCTGGCTGCCCGCTCCCAAAGGATTTGGGTCAACCTGGCCGCAAAAGGCGGCTGGAGAGGAGAGATTTGCAAATTGGCCAAGATTTATAGTGTTAGCCACGGCGGTTGGATCGCCAGCGCACCTCTGTGCGTGCTGGTGAAAAGTTTTCCCGGCTCGCTGGGAGGTGGAAATTAACGCAGGGACAAGCGGAACAGCTGAGCCGAAACCAAAACAGGAGGACCTGTCTGGGCGCAGTCTGTTTGGGTTTTCGGGGGGGGGGGGCCTTTTCCGCCAAGCTTTTGGGCCAACTGGCACCTGGCTAAAATGAAAAGGGGGAGGGTTTTACCTACACCCGCATAGAAGTCTGCCGACTAATCTGTTAATTTATGTTGAAAAGTTCAGGGAAGTTTCGAAGCGCTTAGCAAACAAATTGCAATAAATTATTAAGAATATTTGCACACAAAACGGGCGTGTGACGAGGATAGGGTGAGGGGGGGCCACAGTTTTTGTGCATTTCATTAATTTATGTTTCGTTGCCTGCCAAAAACTTCTCGCCACTTGTGTGGATAATTTGATTTCTCCGTAGAACAACTTTACACAGCCAGCAGGCGAGATTCACACGCAAAGATAAACACGAGCCCGTGACTGTGCCTTGTGTCCTGTGTGTCCCTTGTCCCCTGTTTCGTATCCCTGGTATCCTGGGTATCCTGAATCCCCCATCCCTTTTTCCCGTCGAGAGTTGAGGGTCGAAAGTGGCCAACGAAAAGTTAAAATGTTCTTATGCATAAGTGATGCGCTGGCGCCTCGTCCTTTTTCGCCTTTCAACTGGCGACAAAGTCCTCACGAAGTGCCCGCATTGCAGTTGTTTCCGCTTTGCTTCGTTTCACTCGGCCGCCGCATGAAAACTTAATGTCGTAATTAACTGTTTGCGTTTGCGCTTTAAGAAGAATGTCGCGTATACGCCCCGTGCGCTCCTCTCTCCTCTTAAATCGCGTATGCGCCCCTTAAGCCGAGATTTAAACGCATCGCGTGACCCACTTGCAGGCGACTGCAACTTTCAATGGCACAACGTGTCACTTTATCAAAAGCAAAAATCTGGCAAATGGTGTGACACGAATTTCCGGTGGCCAGGAGGCGAAACAAAGGCAAATAGTGCAAAACAAGGCTGACTGGCATTTCGACTGGGTGAACCGGAAATGGCTGTGAAAACATCATAGCTCGAACTTCCCATCCATACGAATTAACTTTGATGACTTGGCGGAAAAGGCAAAAAGCCAGTTACCTGGCGCGATTCCATTTCCGCCGCTTAACGTCATTAAATGCGCTGAAAATTGAAATTGAAATTTTCGGCCAAAAGCTAAGCACCCAGCTCCAAAACTGCCGAAATAGAAGCAAATCCCTGGGATCAACCGGATGAGCCAATTCCTCAATTGGCTGGCTGTGAAATAAGATTGTCAACTGCAATTAGCGCGCTTAATGCAGCTTTCGGATGCGAATTGACAGCCAGACAGCGTGTCCTTCTGGGCTGTCAATCTGCCAGATGCTTACCTTATCCACTTGCCTGCCATCCTGTCAGCCAGTTTACGGCACGCATCCTGAAGGACCCAGGACGAAGGACTGCCGTGGCCCCACTCAGACATGCATTCGCTGCTCACCACTGCGAGTAGTGGCCCCTCCAAGTTGCACATTTAAAGACTGCGGCGACTCGAGTGCCCTTCTCCGTCGGCTGATGGCCCTCCACCTAACGCACCCGCACTGCCAACCACACTTGGCTAAATGGGCCATAGAAAACGGTTGCGAGCTGTTTTGCTCGACTGCAAATTAAATAAACCCCCGAGATTATAAAGTTATGGGTAAAGTAGGGCCAGAAATGAAAACATCCGCCGCAAATACTCTGGAATTATTTGAGCAATTGTATACATTTATTCATGGAGATTAAATTGCTGATTTGGATTGTTCTAAAGTATACCGAACTTTAAAGGCAGGTTTATGAAGTTTTATTAATATTTTCACAATATTTCAAAATACGATTTGGGCAGAAAGTAGAATCAATAACAAACTATTTATATTGTTCGTCGTAAACTTTTTTAAATTTTTAATTTTATTGCAAAAACAATATTTTTAAGAGCCCATTTGAATAGCAACAAACTCAATGTTATTAAATTAAGGGTAATTTATAAAATAGTTAATTTTAAATCGTAAAGTAACACTTTTAATTTATGAATAAAAAATTAAAAAATATGTTATACACTTTTTTACTAAAGCCTTTAATTTTATATACGTTTTTTTAATGAAATATTTTTACACGTTGGACTACATTAATGGTATTTAAACCAAAATGAACCATTTGGTAATATCCATAATTTCAACCCACTCATTTTACACTTCTAGTTAAAATACACAATTAAATTAATTAAAACATTATAATGGATTTTATTCAGCTTCAGTCGGTGATTTGTTAGAACTATTAACAACTATTTAAATTAGATTAATTTACGGGCAGCAATCACTTGGCCTGGCAGCACTTGGCTCCCGACTTGGAGGCGCATTGGCATTGGCTGTTTCCGGCGCAGTTACCTCCGCACTTTCCGGCTGAGCACTGGCAGTCTAAGGAGAAGAAGGGATTTAATTTATAAGAATCACCTTTTAATAGATCAATTTCCTCCAGGAGGATTTGTACTTACTGTTTCCGCATCCCTTGCAAGGCATCTTGTTGGTTTTTTGGTTTGTTGGCTGTAGTATTCCCGGAACTTTGAAGCTTTGAAACTTTTTGTGATGCCTTGTGCTTAGCAAACTCTGCTTTTTATACCCAATCCAGACCGATCGAAACATCTATGGGCCGTGCTGGCTGATTAGATAAGAATGCCGTGTGCAGTTGCGCGCGATCGACGTGCGCAAAAACATAATGCTGTTTCTGTTTTTTGTGCCCAACGTTGATAAGGCTACTTTGCGCACGCCCTGATAAGTACAATATAGATTTGGTGGTGCGCAAAGCACTAGGAGAACTATAAGAAGGCTGGGCCGCTTAGCTGCAATCATCAAACAGTGCTAACAGCAAAGTCAATAAAGTTCTTTCTAATATCTTCAAAGAAACAATATAAAAATACAACATGGGTTGCAAGGCTTGTGGAAACAGTGAGTATACAAATATTTGATTGACTCCTCAAAGGAGATAATTAAATCCCGATTTAATCCCTAGACTGCCAGTGCTCGGCCACCAAGTGCGGCGATAACTGCGCCTGCAGCCAGCAGTGCCAGTGCTCCTGCAAAAACGGACCCAAGGACAAGTGCTGCTCCACCAAAAACTAAACACATATTGACCCCATTTTTAGCTCCTCCTGCTTTTTGTGATATACCACCTTCCCTCTTCGGCATGAAATCCAAATAAATCCAAACAATCAACTCAATTTAATGTTTAAAATCAAATCTTTATTGGCCATTTTGACAAGAATAGTTCTTTAGTTATTTCCCACTTTAGTTTTAGAAATTGCACACCCAATTAGCGTTTGAAATTACATTTAAAACACTTACACAATGTACACAATTAATTCAAGTACACAGTGAGTACGAGTACAGGACATTCAAATAGTATCCAAATATCAACATTGTTTTTGGCGAGCTTTTCTCATGTGTAGATGTTTGTGTGTGTATAGTTTTGTGGGGAATGTGTGTGTCTGTTTTCATATGATAGTTTTCACAATAAAACATTAAAAACTTTACGTACACAATGTTACATTTTGTTGCTCACACTGTGAGTGAACAAAAGGAAATCCGCTTTCATTCGCATTCAAGTGTTTCAATTGTTTATTGAATTGTTTATTTATTTGGGGGTGTACTTAAGTCTTATAAAATTCTTAAGGTTCACGTACAAAGCTAAGTGTAGTGTTGTGTTATTATTGTTGTTGTTTACATAATTGATTATGTTTACGATCTCCCCTTGCAAGCGGTGTGAGTGTGCTTCTCGTGTCTCTGATAGCTGACTAAAAAGGCAATCGCATTTGGCGCATTTGAAATGCATTGCAAACTCTGCCCTGATGACTCAAACAAACAAGTTTCAAAAAAAATATACACGGATTGGTTAAATTTTAGCGCATTTTCAGCAATGGAAGCCAATAAAGGATGGGTTATAAAGCAATTCACAATGTTACTTAGATTAAATATAGACTAAAATAAACGCAAACAATTCTTGCGTTGCTGCTCTCGTTGATTTGTTTCATCTTCGATTAACATAGGCTTAGCACGCGAAGTAATTTGTATTTCAAAGTTCTAAAACTAAGGCGATTAAAATTAAAATCAAAATCAAAAATTTAGATTCAACAAATAGTTACTAACTAACTAAACCGATTCTCTCATCATTACCATTTAAACGTAATGCTTTGTCACAGACGAACACGTCCATTGTACAAAAAAAAGAAATTATATGCATACATATATAAAGGTATATATAAAAATATAAAACGAATAACATGCGGACACATTCCAAAGGTTTATACAACACAGAAATTCTAAATTCTGCATAAGTCAGACACAATCATAATCACGATAGAGTCAATGTTCTGGCTGTGTGCTGTGGGTGTTTGTGTTGAGGTGTCGCAATTTGCATGCATTGCTCTGGTAGATCTTATTGTTGTTGTTGATGTTGTTCTTGTGGTTTGGCGTTTCACAAAAAGCTGCAAGGATAAAGGTAAGAGTTCAGTTTAAAATTGATAAAATTAAATTCTACCAAAATAGTTAGTCCTTAGTGGCATGTAAGTAGTAGGTACACGAGTAACATTTAAAATCTGCAGCTAACTTGGTTTTCAAAAATAGTTTCACCATCTGCGACGAGAAAGCGCTGTGTACATATATACGTATATAAATATATAGATAATCTCCATGTAAATTCGTAATTTCGTTTCATTCCCTGTGCAGAGTTTTCACTCTTCTAGCTAGACTTAAAAAGCTATCGGATCCATGACCATTGAAACCAGCTTGCTCCGGTTCCTAACCTTTCTCAGGACTTTCTCAGTTTGTGTATAACGTGTGTAAATAGCGTAAAACGACAATTAACGTTCAAAATACGTTTAACAATTAACATTTAATACGTAGCATAATAAACCTCTTCACTGTATATAATATTTTCTCTACATTAACATTTAACTACAACTGATTTGTTTCGTTTTCAATCTGAACCGAAGTGCAAGGAAGTTGTATGTAAGTGCGTTTTTAGGTGTAACAATATCAAGAGATAAAATACGTACCAAAACAAAACCTTCCACTACACGATGCATTCGCAAATCTAATAATTACATCTAGATAACATTAAATAAAACTTTCGAATAGCACAATGAGTCATGCGCCAGATCGTTGCAATCGTTGAGGTGGCGTAAACATCATCGTCGGACTTCCAAGATAGCGGCACACGGTCAGGCGGCTATCTGATTTCGTTTATACATAGGCTTCTCTATTTCTATAGTTTCAAAAGTTCTCAAATTGCGCCATCGAGTCGAAGTCCGTCATTCCAAAGTCACCACTAAAAGAGGTTTCGAACGAATTGGTTTAAAAATGAGAAAAGAAAATCATTAATAAATAATAATAAATCGGGACTAAATAAATCGAAATCATGCGGGTGGCTCGGGAAAAAGGTATTAAGTATGCTTGAGATGTGGGGCAAAATCAGAATGAAATGACAGAAGTGCGGCGCTAAGTGAAAATTTGAGTAATTAGGAAATTTAGCAAAGCTAGTCCCTAACGTTAAATATAATAACAATAACATCAAATTGAGTAACATCGAATGGCAATGCAAATAACAACGAACATGCAAATAATCGAACAACAACCCTCCAAAAGGGCATGCAGGAATATCTTTTTAAGTCTAGTATAGCAATCAGTTTTAAAGATTTGTCAATTATATTAGCTTCATTTTCTTTAATCTGAAATTTCCGAAATCGGTTGCTTGACTAACTCAGATCGGTTTTGGATTTACAGGTGCATGATGGTGCTATTCTGCAAGCTGCGTTCAAAGCGAAATATAGAAGAGGGTAAACAAGATAAGCGGTTAGAGGGTATCATTTTAAATTTGGAAGAGTTTCTTGATTGGGATTTCTTACAATATTCATCGAGTTGAGGCTGAAAAGTTTAAAAAGATGGCAATACTTTGAACATAAAGGCAAAAATAAAAGAGACTCATCACTGAACGCAAACGTAACGTAAATAATTGGTTAGGTCTCTTAAAACTACATTGCGAACTATCAATAGAGTTAGTAATCTCCTTGGAGAGCCCATCTGAAATTCATGAATCAGGGGTGACCTTTGGCATGTGCTGCTAAATGAGGCGATGCAATGGAATGAGCGAATGAAGTGACCAGCAGCTTATTCGATTTGGGGTAATTAAGGGAGTGGATCGATCTGTGAGTGAATGCGGACGAACAGCTTGGGAATTATAAACCACGATTGGGTTGCAGTGATCTGGATCGAGTGATTTGAATGCGAAACTTAACTAAAATGTTATACCTTTCGGTAAGTGTGGCACAATCAACAGCCATCGGGTGTGGATAGTCTGAATAAAAGGCGATGGCACAGCGTAAGATCAATAATTGTAAACGTACTCTCTATAGGAGCTCTTCATTATGGCATCACTGATTTCATTTATCACAGGGTCGTTGGGTGGGACGCCATTCAGAATTTGTTCTATGACATCGAACGTAACGATAGGTGCGGAATCTGATTCCTCATGTCTCGGTGGGCTATAGCAAGTGTCGACGCTTTCTGGCGAGTAAGGAACGACGCTTTGGGGCGAGAAAGCGACGGCGCTTTGTGGCGAGTCACTGAACCGTCACCAAAAAATCAATCAATCAATAGCCGCAAAAGGTTGAAAATGAAAATAAACAAAGTAGAGTAGGGTAGGTAAGTTTCTGTGTAAGTACAAATAAGTAAAGTCAACTGACATGGCGAGCTCATCGAAGAGCTCAGACAGAGTTTCCAATTAATTTTATTAGTTCGTTAACAAAAGAGCCTCAATTTTTGGTTAGTCGGGAACAAACGTCTTTTTTGCACCTCTTTACAACGTCCTTTTCCAATTCAAAGTATTGCAATCTGATTAAACTTTTTGTCAAAAACAATCATAATCAAAAGTAAGGTAAAGCAAGTAAGCTGAAACAAATAAGGCGGATCAGCCATGACATAGAGGCTTTATCGATCATCTCGGGCCAAGGATTAGCTCTCTACTCAAGCACTCAAGCCAAGGACAAACTCAATAGTTAGGAAATAGATCATTGTTATAGTTGTTGCTGTTGGCGGTCGATTTGGTGTGTTAGCTGTGGCGTAGGCATCCAAAACTTACTTTCCCAACTGCATGTTTTCCTGCGCACCGTGATGATGCGGTGTTCCGCTAGTGGACACATTGTCCCCGTTGCTGCAAACGTGGACGTGCAATGTGCTCTTCACATAGCCGGTCACGGGATCTAGAACGAGGGGTTCGGGTTCTGATTAGGAGTGTTGGACCGTCGTGCCATCTCAGATTGCATTCCTACCTTGACGCTTTGAGTAGAAATCGCCAAAGGCGTCGTCCCTTCTCACGGGACTGGCGTTGCGATCGCTGGGATGCAGCCAGCACAGCACGTCCAGATCGCGAATGCGATCGGCCAGGTTCAGCACCTGGAAATCACGGGCAGTCCAGGGCGCCAGCATGGTGACTTCCCCCAATGGGTTTACGTAGGCGATGGAGACACCACCTGCAGTTCCAAAAAGAAATCATTACTATGACTAGACCTTCCAAACAGTGATCCACACTCACCTAGCTCGCTGTCGGAGAAGCGAATCAGGAAGGTGCCGATGCCATACGATGAGCGCAGCAGATCAGCGTGCGCCTTGGCCTTGTTGATGAAGCCCATGATGCAGCCAGCCTTCCACATGTTCAACATCTGATCTTTGGTCAGTTTCATGATGGCAAAGAACCACTCCCAGAAGGTGAAGGACCTGTCGGGCAAGGGCTCCTTGCAGAACTGGTTCCACGTAATGTACTCGGATCGCTCCTCACGCTGAAGCTTCTCGTCTGTAGGCACAATGAAAATAATGATTTAGCATATTTGCATATTTTTATAGGATAAAGATAGATCAATTCCGAAAACACCAAAGTTCGTTTCAATAAAAATATAGTTTAAAATAATGGCATATTTTATTTGATTTTCATATTTGCATAAAATGCATATGCATAAAATATGCAAAATATAAAATAAACTCATTTTTTCCCAAATTTAAGGAAACCCTATTTATATTTCCAACGAGTAGGCGAGAAGGGGTCAAAAATAGTAAAAGGACCAGAAAGGTTGTTGGCCCTATCGGCCAAACTGCTCGTTTAAATTGCTCGCCGTGCTTACTGAAGGTTCCCTACAATACCAGAAGGCTGCATTAAAAATTTGCGCCTCCAGTTGTTCGCATATATTTTGCAGATTTTATGCTTATATTTTATGCATATATTTTGCATATTTCCGATATGCATCCGAATTTATTAGATTTGAAATATATGACACCTTCCTAGAAATTTTGGTAAAAATCGGACCAAAAATGGACAATGATGCAAAATCCGATCATTGATTATTTAACAACAATTAGTGAGAGACCAACTTACAAAGGAAATCCAGGTTATCAATAGTCAGTGAGCGCCCAGTGCAGGAGCCGAATTTAATGTTTAGCGCAACCGACAGCTGGGCCCAGGTAACACGATCCGTGATCACGAAGGGATCGCGCACAATCTCCGCGAACGCATTGTCCCAAGTGATGGTAGCCCAGGACTGGGGCTCCTGGTTGCCATGGACGATCACCACCACGGGCAGTGACAGGGTCCACACGCGGATCTGGAAATCGTTTACAGTGGTCGTGGTGTAGAAGAACAGGGCGAACTTCTCATCCATAACGCTCTCGGTGCCCTTCTTCTCAGCCCGCTTGATCTTCTTCAGCTGCATATTGCGGAAGCTGGCTGAGAACAAATGGTTGCTCTGCTGAAACTCCATGGTGCTGGAGGCGTTTAGAATCTCGCCAGACGATTGACCGCTCAGGCTGCTGTTGTCCACCTGCGTGTTGCGAGTTACGAAGCGTTGCGACTGGATCTCTGCGAAGAAAGGTGATCAAATGTTAGTAACTTGTATTATAGTTTAACTTTTATAGTTACCCGACATGATGATGCATTCGACAGTGGGCGGATTGTTGTGGATGCCCAGCTGTGAGCCTATAAGCCAGCGCACAGATGCCGCGAACCGTGTGTTGGTCTTCATAACCTGCGGCGGCTGTTTGTCCACAATGAAGGCGGAGCAGACCAGGTTCTTCTGCGCATTCTGCACCTGTTCAAGCAGAATTGTTAGCTCCGGCTCTTCACTGACCAGCCGTACGCGCATCGTCTCCTTGACGGCGGCCAGCATGTGGGCGATGAATGTCTCGAGCATCTCAAAGCAGTTCTGGATGTCATCCAGCGAGCCCTCATTGAATGGAGCTCCGTTTCCGGCCTGTGCTTGCTGGTGGCGCCAGTTCTTCAGCTCGTGTATGACCATCTCGTGCAACGACTCGTAGTACATAAAGCTGCGACGCATTCTGTTCACAATGGACGCCTTCTCATCCATCAGACTTCTGAAGGCAACCTCCGCGTTCGGCGAGGATGTGGCGTTCAGCATGTAGCCATAGTTCTGGACAAGCAGCTTCAAGGCGTTGGCGCATTGGCCGAACTCGTTGAGGCTCTGCATGATCTGGTGCTTCAAGTCGAACAGCTCCACCTTGGGCGCGGCCATTCCGAGGGCTGGCGATACCATGCCGCCGGTATTTTGTACATTGTGTATGGCAGCCATGCTTTGGACCACCGACGGATTGCAGCTTTGGTTGGACACCGCCAGCAGGTCACTGGTGTCCATGTAGCCGGTAACCATGGGCGTGTTGTTCATGTTGTAGGGATTGAGCGGCATCGATTGGCCTGCGCTGGCAGCCACACTCTTCTCGGTTACCAGTTGCAACTCCTTTTGCAGGCCGCTGCGCAGATGTGTGTACAGCTCGACGGCGGAGGTGCGTTGAATGAGGGCGCAAAGCTCCACCACCCGGAACTTGAGCGACTGATCGCTGGCGGTGCGCGTGGAGAGAAGCTTCTGCTGCAGATCCTCGTTGAACTTGAGGGCCACGCGCTCCAATTGGTCCGTGGAGGTGGGTGTGATCTGCTCGGACCTGCGAGGCGGATAGATAAGATTCGAGATTATTTTATGTTCTGTTAATTAACCTGATCGTAGTTTTAATTGGAGTTTTCTGTTGCTGTTGCTTAAATCACCCCATCGCCCCCCACTCGACACTCTACTCACATTATCCTGTCCTCGATCCAGGGCGCCAAGCAGAGGCGCAGGTCGAGGAGGCCCTTCTCCTCGTAGTAGGCCGCCATACGCTGCTCGCAGTCGCCATGGCTGGAGATGCGCTTCCACAGGCTCATGCTCTCTGGCTCTACCCAATATGGATATGATGATGGTATTGTGATTTTGGATGCTTAGCTGTGAAAGCTGAATGGGTATGGTGATCAGTGCAACGGTTTCGGTTTCAGTTTCAGTTTCGATTTCAGTTCTTGTTCTGGGACCCTTTGACGAGGCTCTTGGCCCAATCAATGTCCGACTGGCTTCCACAGGCAAATGAGTCTGAGGCGTCCATAAAATGCACTCGCAAACATGCGAACGAGATCGTGTTTTTCTGATTTGGTTTGGTTTAAGTATGGTTAGGAGGAAACTAAAAATACACAAGCATATGTACATGAGGGTAAGTGCGAGGTTTGGTCAAGATAATGTCACCTAATATTGGATTAATATGTAATGTGATGACGCTATGGTTTTCGAAGGCTTCCTAGGGACACATCCCAATGCGATTTCAACCATATTTGCACTGCAGCCCATAAAGACACCCAATTGTTGACTTATCTACCAAGGTTTGGGGTCTCCCCTTGGTCAAATAACCGAATGCACACAAACAGTATGTTGTTTGAGTCAAAACGAAAGGTAAAGTAAATGCTAATCAGTGAGACATCTTTGTTACGCCTTTTTAGAACTATTACACATTGTAGAAAACTGATAACAGTGGTGGTTTACATTAGAAACTTGTTTACATTATTAAAAACTATAGATTTTGTAGAGAAATCAATTTTATAATCTACAGATATTATTGTTTTATATTTATAAATTAATTCCAATGAACTTGCGTTCCATTTAGGTAATGGAAATATAATTAGTTAGTATAATTCTGAGGAGGAAGCAGATCCCCCAGCCGTATCGTGAGGTCATAGAACATCACTTTATGAGCGCGGTAAAGAGCTGAATGAATGCGAGCGACCGACCGACCGACCAGGCCGGCTTAGCCTTTAATTACCATAACAAAAAATTATTGCAAATGGCAAACACAGCGAGAAAAACCAGCTCGCACGCAAGTGAGAAAGTAAACAAAAAAAAAACGAAGCAAAACAACGCGTGAGGTGAATTCGAGACGCTCTGGACAACAGGTGTGAAAATTAATTGCACCGCCGGGCGAGTCCGATCCGTGGGGAATATGACTCTTTATGGCCATGCTAAATAGTGCTGATAAGGCAGCCTGGTGGCCAAGCCCTTCCTTGGTGGTTCTTGCTTCTTCGTTCTTGCTTCTTGGCCAGGTTTTCTTGTCGTCGAAACGTGACCGTAAATGAGCGGTTACCCAGACGCAGGTCCAGACTCAGAACAAGCTCACAACTCCACAAACTAAAACCGAACCCGAACCGAAGCGTGTTTGCTTTTGTGGTCGATACGCTAATTTCTGTAGTTACCCGGAAAAAAGGCAAGCGCGAGGCTCACGTAGCAAATATGAATGGTTCAAGAAAACGAAGAAGTTTCAAAGAGTGGTGCAAACAAGGCAAACCAGTCCAACAGTCCAGGCAAACGAAATTAGATAAGGATCTAATGACCGAAACAGACCCGAAAATGCAACAAAGGTATAAGGTATAGGGATAGCTTGAAGGAGAGAAGGTGGATGATCAAAACAGGTCGCGGCGATACCTGCTTTTGCCCCCCGGGAACCGATTTCGGATGTGCGGCTCACTAGGTAAGAGAGTCAGGGAGTCAGAGTCGCTTAGGTAGATGGAACCAAACCAATACGATTGTGTGGAAAGGCAGGTTTCTTTCTATTCATAAGTTAATGCTGCTGTTTCTCTTTTTCAGTTTCTGCCCTTCGGGGCAGTTTTTAGTTTTTAGTCCAAACCAAAGTAGTTCAAGGTTCTGGTTAGCTTGTTGCCTCTAATGTGCCAAGTCAGTTGGAAGCAGCAGCAACTCAGTCAAGTTGGCAAAAGTTTTTTGTTTGTTCTTATAGGAGCTCTCCGAACTGGGCGGCCTTAGAAGTACTTTTCCGCTTGTTATCAGCCTTAAAAAGCAGCAAAGTTATTACAGACACACAGCTGCATCGGAGGTGAGTCACCCACTGCCAGGGGTTATCAATTGAAAAGCTTTGAGTGAATAACACACGGAAAACTCGGATTGCTCGTATCGATTGACCAGCTTTATTGAGAAGCCTCCCTGATCCCATTTGGGTTATCTGAGAAGATCAGAGGCTGTCAGGTGGCCACGAGCAGACTGTTTACAAACAATCTGCTATCGATACAATATTATTGTCGCATTGGGCGGATCACTTTGCCAGCAAAACAATAACAAATCACAGAAAAATAAACAAATAAAAGTTATATTAAAATTAAATGGGTTTTCTTTAGGTCTTTACCGATCGATGGAGGGTACTTAACTGAAGACTTGGCTAATTTAACTCCCCACTTTTATAGCTGAAAGTTTTCACTTGATAAGAGGCCAATGACAAAGTAAGAATAGCAAACCATTAAAAGAATGATATGAAAATTATGCCGAAGTTGTTAGAATAATCAGTGTTTGCTGGAAATTTGCCTTATTTCATATATTATTACCATGCTCTGATAACGCAATGACCAAAAGGCATCGATGAATCAATTGCCATGAAAGATTGCGTATGGATTAGGTGGAAAACTTGTCGAGCAAGCGAACAAGTCGCTTATCAGGTCAATTTGCTCACTTTAAATAGCCCTCTACGGCTTCGGGGAAAATCGACGGGAGTCTTGCGTTTATTAGGAACTGCAAAACTAGTGACCGCGTATGGCAAAAAATGTTTGTGCAAATAAACATAGTATTATGAAATTCGGTTAATGGAATTTATATGTTAATTTACGCACATTGCCCTGTTGGAGAGTCATAATTGGGGATCGCTGGTGTATATTATCAACGATAATAACGTACCGCAGGCCCATAATTAAAGCCCAAAATGCATGGATGGATGGATGACTGGGTGGCCGCCGCCCCTCCTCGGAGGCCGAGGAATTCCCATCTGCACTCCATGTCGCTATAGTTTTCAGGCATGTGTCGTCGTTTGGGACCTTAGCTACATAAAGTTGAGTTTTTCTGACGCCATTTCCGAAACACCGGAATACTCTACAAACCTCATAGCACATTTTAAAACATCTAATCAAAAAAATTTCAAAATAGTAATACGCAAATTGCCTCTTGGGAGTTAGTCAGAACTTTTTGATACCGAGTAAATCCTTTTTTTCGGGCACGAATTTATCTTGGTTCTGTGATGCTGGTCCAAAGAAATCCAGTTTTCGTTTCGCCATTCGCATGAGCAGCGGGGCTCAAAGAAAACAAAAACAAAGGCAAAATAAACCAAGGCGCAGACCCAGACGCGATAAAAAAGTTTTGCGGCATTTTAAGTTTCGGTATTGACTGTGCTAAAAGCGAGAAATATCTCCAGCCTGTGACGTCAGCAAAATGCTCACTTGGAAAAAAGTTAACAAGATATAATTATAAAAAAAGTCAAAAATAATTTTAAAAAAAGTAGTGTTATGAAAATTCGAATATGGAATAAATAAAAATGGTCCCTAATAATATTTTGAAGTTCCAAAATTTTAGGGACTTATGGCTGTAGAAAGAGGCAAAATTATAGCATAGTTAAAAAATATTTTTTTGCAGACTTATCAGAGACTTCCTGCGATAAAACTTTTAAACTTTCGTTCTTAAAAATTAAAAAAAAAAATATTTCTTTAATGACCACAAAAATTCCTTTCCAATCTAAAATACGTTTGTTTCGTATTAAAAGTGTGGGAAACAAAGAACTTAAAAATACTCCAAATTGTTTTTTTTTTTCAAATATCTACATGTTAATTTCAATGAGCAAATGTTCGTGTACAAGCCTTTTAACTTTATTTCTAGGAACTAGTTGCAAAGTACAAAGGTTCACAAGAGAAAACTGATAATTTTGAAAGGGGAAATATAATGAATCTTTAAAGAAAATCATCTTTTATTATAATGCGTGTTTTTTCGCTTTGCTTTGCGGGTACAAAAAATATAACATCAGTCGGCATTCACTTCACCGCAAAAGCCGCGATAACCGGTAGTTACCTACCGAACCTCCACTGAACTTCTCCCCCACACGGCCGACATTAGCGATTTATAGCGCCATATAGACCAGGCATATATAGAATGTGTGTTAGTTCGGAGGGGCAAAAATTATTTACTTAGTTGCAGTCCCGCACACGTTAGTCGGCGTTATTTATACGCCGTTGTAAATGTTCACACATGTCCACACGGGGGCTTCTGGGCCCAAATGGAGAGGTATAAAAAGGAAACCCCGAGTCAGGCCGGCTTCAGGGGGTTAAAAACTTGTATGTGTATACAAAACACAGACCTCAAAAGCGCGTCGCACACGCAAACAACACAAGTATATTAAATAAAACCACAACAAATGTGTAACGAAGCTTTTTTTTTCTCTCATTTTTTAAATGTATGTATAAATTCATTTCGATCTCTCGTCGGCGAAAATGTTTTCAGTTGCAAAACTTGAATTTGCATTGACGTCTATCTTTTGGACGACCAGCGTTCGGAGAATCGACGTATATCCAATGCATATACTACATACGTACTATATTCGCTCAAACAAAAGCTAAACAAATCGTTGGATTTGGCCCGGAAATGGGACGGTTACTATGCATCTCACAAAAGTATGCGGGGGTACTTCAAAAGGGATTTTCTCAGAATTGATAATGCAAATTAATCAGTTTCCATAATCAGTAAAAGGTCCGTGGAAGTCAATGTCTAATCTCTCAGTGCCTCTGGCGACCTTGAGCCTTGCATTTTCCACAATGACAATCCGGTGCATACAAAGAAAGTGGTTTCGCCTGTGTGGCAGTGAAAAGTGAACTGGTTGGGCTGTTTTTTTTTTTTGTATATGTAAAGCAGTGGGTCCAAGAAAAATATAAGTCAATTCAGCGTTTGCCGGGGGAAAACCCGCAGTTCATAGTAATCTGCATCTACAATTGAGTGCCAATTGTTATGGCATACATACATGTATACATTCTTGACCAACGGACTGTTTGTCTGTAGATATAAACACACACGAGTATCTGTATCTCAACAAGTTCTCTTGCCGGCCAGCTGCCCACACAAAAATGTTGCTTTTTTTGCTGCCCCGCTCGACAAACAAAAAGGCGAATCGCAAACAAACAGAGAAATACACAGTGAGCAAGATCGAGGGAGAATAACAAAATAGCCCAATTGCACTTTTAGCCGTGTGTGTGATTAATGCGGAGCTTTAAAAAGCCAAGTAGGCGCGTTTTAGATAAGCATTTGGTGGATGAGTCATCATCGCTGAAAATCAGGCAATCTTTACTCCACACCGAGCCACTTTGTTTATCTTTGGATATCTGCGCTGCGAAATCTTTGGGATAAACAATCTGCAGATACAGATTGAGAATAATCCCCTAGAAAAGTGGTATGCACACACAATTTGGCGTATTGCCACAGCGAAAATTCTGGAAAACGTGTTATCTGCAATGTGGGCGTATAAACAAGATATGGGCCAGATAGAAAAGATAGAAGAGATTCCAATTTTCAGGCGAATTGAAAAGCTTTAGGGAATCCAAGTGCCGCCAAGTGGAAAGTTTTATGGCAGCAGCCGGGAACTGATAAGACCAAGATTTCAAACTACGTATCATAAAACGTTAGACAAGTTGGTGAAACAGTGATACCTCGGTTGCACGAAAACGCATTATCTATAAGTGGCTAGATTGCATTTTGAAGAGGGTTTCTTTTTCATTCTTTGTAGATTTTTTTTCATATTATATTTTTTGTTTAAAAGAATTGGGGTGAAACTGATTGACCTTTACGTTAACATGCATGTTATTTCAATATCAAATTAAACCGTTTTTCATCGATTTTAGCTTAGGATCATGGCATTTTGAAGGGGTTTTCTTTTCCATACTCTGTAGGTTTATAAAAAATCATCCCAAATAATGTCTAAATTAAATAAAAATAAAAAAATACATAAAAGTATAAACGCTTCAATAGGTTACAAAAAAAAACTTTTAAAATGTGCTTCCTATTCATGGCACGCCAATATCCCAATTTAAATATTAGTCATGCACTCGGTAAAGAAAAGTTTAGTTGGTGGGGCAAGGCAGTTGGATTGTGTGGCTGGGACACACTACAATTTCCTCGGCCCCTTGGTGGCTTCCAACCTTCCTGACCATTCTATAAAAAAAACCCTCGACTCTAAATACCCAAGAACGAGGGTTCTGTTCTGCCTTTGTTGTTCCTTGGCTGTTCACTTTGCTTTTTGCTTTCTGCTGCTTCGACATTTGTGCCAGCCAGCCGTACATTTTATATTTTTCTTATTCAATTTTTTATAAACAACGCATACACGCTCACGATTTCCCTGTGAGGAGAGAGCCGTTTGTGGTATTTGTTTTTGCACTCATAAAAGTTTAATAAGCATGCCTCAGTGTTCTTCGGCCTGTAAATGTGTGGGTGTACGTCGTACGTCGTACAATGGAACCCCCGCCGTTGCACTACCCCCGACCATCCCCTAAACGGGCTCCCTTTCCCCGCCAAGTGTTATTTAAGTAATCATTTATCGTTCTTGCTCGCCTGACATTTGCACGATGTTTGTCGGCTTTCGAGACTCCGATTCGAATGGGGTATATTGGACTGATTTGCCAGTTTGTCGCCACATGGTTTCTTATCACCAAACATACTTTGCCGGAAGAAAGGACCCATGTTTGTTTTCAAATGTGCTTCTTATCAGTTATATATAACAAACAGTTTTATTATTATATTCAAATAATGTATTTTCCAAATATTTATCAAAATTTGTCAAAATTTGTTGTCACCATGTTTCAAAACAAATGGACTTGTCTGGACCAGGGATCAGTAAGGTTATCAAACAATGACAGCCATCAAACATTGCCTTTTATTGCTTAACATAATAATCTTCGCGGAATATTATTTAATAGATTTAAAAAAATATAATATACCCACTCCTAATCAGCAAAATGTTGACTGCTCCATTTTGCTCGTGTTATTTTTGTAGCTTATTTTTATTAGTTTATTTAATAACTTTTTGAAGGAACTTGACAAAGGCGTTTTAAATGTCAAACACTCTTTGCACTTATTAAAATAAAACAATGGGGATTTCAAAAAATTATCTTTTTAGTATTCTTTTGGGTTTTTTAGGGTCTATTGAAAACTTTTGTTCTGCATTTCTTCCGAATTTGACATATCAATAGGACTCTACAATAATAATGAACCATAGATTTGAAGTGCTACATTTTCGCTTCGTTTTTTCATCGCCGGAACTGGGGACCAGTGATTAACACTAGAAAAGCATAAAGCTTATCGCTCGCTGGCGGAATAAGTGTAAGTACAGTAGGCCCCCAATCTATAAGGTCTGTTCCACTTACGCCTGCAGCACCAGCGATTGAATGCAACGCAATAAGCGACTTTGATAACGAGGTGTCAATGTAACAAAGTAAATAAGGGGAGTCGTCGATAAGAAGCAGAGCTCCGTTTGCGCTTGAGGATAGACTGATTCGCATAATCGGTTAATAATTACGGTCCAGAAATAACTTAAACACATGTGGATTGGATTTGTGGCGATAAACTTTTTTGCATATGTTCGCATCTGACGCGTGTTATAAAACGCAAAAGATTTGGAAGGCCAGATGGTTGAATCGAACGTTAACACCCTAGTTTTTATGAGTTTAACGATTTTTAAGATTGGCGCATTACTAGATTCATGATAAAAATTTTGAGTGCATGCTTACTTTTTTTTATGATTTATGGATAAATAAATAACAATAATGCAATTATACAATTTTAATCTTTTTAAATCCTTAAGAAGTATAGAAAATCCTATATCTTGATACGAATCTTGAATTAAAATCTGTACATAAATAAAAGAAACCTAAGTGCGGTACTATTAGCCATGACATAAACGAAAACCCTTTTGACAACTGTCATAAATCGCCTGTCCATTTAGCCATCGATTAGAGGCCGTACTATGACCAATATTAATCTACTGGGCCCACAACTATCGGGTTTATCAAATGTGAAACGCCAAGGGGTTAACGTTGGCGTCGCTCGCTGACAATCGTAATTTGTCCGAAGTGGTAAGAGCCAGCCGGGTTATAGCCAGGCCAAGAAGTCGAGGAGCGGTGGGGAGAAGGGAGGGGCAGGGGACGAGCGACGACAGTGAGCAAGATAAAAGTGTTGAGCGCGCAGAAGTCGGCGACGTATGAAAGCAAGAGTAGCATGTGAATATGAGAATGATAGGGACCCGTACGCCAGACACAGAGAGAAATTAGGGGGTTTTGATAAAACTAAAGGTGATTTCTATATGATTTGACTATGCCAAGGGTATAAACTTTAAAAATTGATAATTTAAAAATTGAAAGCGATGTAAATTTAACCCTCTTTTTTGCTACCAAATAATAGTAATAGAATTTTTTAGGCTGGCAGATAGTAAAAATATTAATATTGAACAAAAAAGAGTTACCAATTTTTTTCCTTTGCCCGCTAGATGTTCAGCGGAAATGGAAGAAAAATGTAAAAATAACATTTATATTAATCTTTTATTATCTTTTTCTCCCTGTGCAGGAGTGCGAGCGGGACGGGGAGATGGGGAACAGCTAATATACTCGATATCAGTGTTGTTGTTGCTGCCATTTGTGCTATTGCACTCGAAATTCTTGTTGCCTTTGTTTTTATGGGCTTTCCAGGAAACAACAATGAACGGGGGAAGAAGCAGAATGAGAAACAGGAGCGTGAAACACACACACATGGGAATGTTGATGTATAAATAAAGCCTCAAGTGGAAACACATGATGATGGTGCATTGGTTTCGTGGCTAAAATGCAAAGAACCTTCGCGAAGGCCTCGTAGGACCACCCACTGGTCCGCCCACCCCCAAAAGCAGCCACACTTTTTGCGCAGTGCACAATTGCAGTGGAGTCCTCCCGCCCACACATGCATAAATACCCCCCGCCCCCCAAACCCCACAATATTTTTGCTCTTTTTTTTCCTATTTTCTATTTACCTTTGGTTCACAAACACCAGCGCACAACACTGTGTAAACACACACGGCTGGCTGGTATCGGTTTGTTTGTGTTGGTACGCCTGCCGCTGTTGCTCTTCGATATTTCTTTTTTTTTATTATGTATTTGCCGTTTTATTTTTAAATCGCGCTCGCCTCACGCACACAGACACACGCAGTGCGAGAGAGACGGGACACACACTCGCACACCCGCGCACTCGGAATCTAAAGGAGTACTGAGTCCTGGCGAAAAGAAATGCTTTCTAGAAAGCGAGTCCTCGAAGACAAAGTGCAGTTGCAAAAGAATTCAACTGGTTGCGCACTTGAAAATCGGTCCGCTTTTGAACAGTTCGTTTGAGTGGCTAAAAAACGACTGACGCGTTTCAGGTGGGGGCGCAGAAACATCGGTTGAAACATCGACGTTCAATGGCGACTATCGAAGATGCTACATCTCTAAAATGTTAAGATTTTCTAACAGAGATGTTAAGTTACCATGGGCCGGCCTATGTTAGGAAAACACTGAGCGAAAAGATGTTGACAGTGCTAATACAATTTCAGAACTTACAAATACAACTGTTGGGGATTACAAATTCTAATTTGAAAACAGGAAGATGTGAGCTTAAAAATTCTAGCTTTTGTTTCATCAAATTCATAAATATTTTTTTAATTTTTGGAATTTCCATCATAAAGCCAACTGGTGAAGAAATCGAATAGCACAGACTTGAACCTATTCCACACTGTTAACTTAACAGCAATGAAGTGTAATAATAGTAAAATAAACAATTTACCAATAAACAAATATTTAAGAAAAGGGGGTTTACACATTTTCCATTAATTTTGTGGCGCCGCCGATGAAAGTGCGCAAGTTGATTGCACACACACAAGTACATGTCACACACACATGGCGGTGTAATTAATTGCAATTAATTGATTTGTCCACCAAAAGTCAAGGTTACACACTGCACAGAAAATCACAATTAGCGTTTTTTTTGTTTGTCTTATTTTGTGTATTCTGCACATAAACAGAAGGTCCTCCGATTTCACCTGTTGTGCGCAGCAACAAGCGACCATGGGCATGCCACCCCCTTTTCGCGCGAGGGGTAGGAATTTGCTGGGAGGGGGGTTTTAAGGATGGGCCCCGTCAAATCAATGGGCTCTAAATAATTAATTCTTTCCACTTTCGGCCCAGCACTCACCTTCAGATTGGCTTTTTGGTTATGGCCTTTTGGCAATTGCAGGTGGTGGGGAAAAAACCCTTTTTTAGCGTATGAAAACACCGCCTCCAGCACGCGGCTGCTTAGCCCTTTATTCGCAATGCAGCTAGACTTAAATATCACTTTTTAAACACAATTAAAAGAAGTTGTTTTCGTTTTTCTGCGGAGTTTTTGCGAAACGCGACCAGTCAATAGAGATTTCGATAGACAGCACCCACGCAAATAAGTTATCGCTTAGTCGGCGGTGTTGCCACCTGTCGGCACAGTTGGCGCGCTGATTTGAAACCAGAAATAGAAAACCACACCTTTTAAACAATTTTTGTAAATTTTAATAATAAAAAACACACTAACGTACAAGAATTACATAGTATATGCATAAGATGATTTCGCTGGTGAACACCCTTAAATTCATGGCAATTTTTACAGTCGCAGCGCATTGACATCGAGTTGGAAATACACAATATACAAAAAGTTTTGTCGGGGGTAAATCATTATCATTAGTCTAGGAGTAAACGAGTGGCGTGTACGGTTAAATTATTGTCCAAGCAACACCATAGAATACGATCCGGACCCTAGGAGTAGTAGTAGGTGCCAAGCGAGTCATTATTCAGACAGTTTATTGGCTGATCTATGTATACTTTCGGCTTACGGCGATAATAAATCAATTACGGTTAATAACAAAGTTAAGCGCTTTCGGGTGTCTTCTCTTTATCGCATCTCCCTCACAAAACTAACAGCTAAAAATATCTAACAATTAGAGCATGTCGGTGCTGCACTTATATCTCCTCAGCTTATCCATCGATCACGAGACTTAAGAACGAAGCAGTGCGTTTTTGGTGTGGTTTTTATGGGTGACTGGGGACGGTGGCTACTTGTTGACTCGTCTCAAGTTGGACAGCTCCGTGAGCCACGCCTTGATCAAATCGTAGGTGGAGAAGCTGATGCCCACGGCAATGGGTCCCTTGATCCAGTTCATGCTGAGACCCTTGTAAAATCCGTTCTTGATGCCCTCCTCGCTGGAAGGTTAATATAAAGTTATTTAAAATACGGATAAACTTATTGCAGAGATTTTTACACACCGATAGATCTTTGCGAGCGTCTCCAGAATGGTTGGATACCGATCTCCATTCGCCGTGTTCACCCGCATCGTCTGCATCCTTCGCCGCACAATGTCCAATGGATAACTCGCCGTCTGTCCAGCAGCACCTGCTGCAGCCCCGAAAACCAGCGAGACTAGAGTATTGGGTTTATTGCTGCCGACCATTTCTAAAAGCAAAAAAATCATTTAATTAGTATGTAAATCAAATCCAAATAGAACTTTGTTAATTATAATTAAAGATTATTTGAGTGGTTTAGTATCTTTAGACTATGAATCTCATCTCACGCGGTAGGTTTATAATTTAAAATATATTTAGTTAAACTGTAAATAATCTAGGAAGGCATATTATAGTTGATTATTTCTGCCTTTAAAACATACACATCTGCAAGGAATGACGCAGAATGAGCGTCTATTTTGGCACTAAATTGATTCTTGTCGTCTTGCGTTATGTAAATAATTGAAAATATATAAAATATGAGATAATGAAAATTGACTACCACAAGAAAATAATTGTGATATTATTGAATAGTAATATTCTGCAAAATAGAATAAAGACAGTCTTTCCTATAATTTTAATATTACGTTGTTACAATGGGACACTTTCAAGTAATTTATAGATTTTCTTCGCAGAAATAATAGCTACTAATTATCTTTCTTTCCCACCATAATAATGTATAGAAAATAATTGTGTTATAATTGAATAGTAATAATCTACAAAATACAATAAAGATAGTCTTCCCTAAAATGGTAATTATTACAATGGGACACTTCCAAGTACTCTATAGATTTTTCCTCACCATAATACCGTATAAAGCGGTGTTACATTTCCCTTAGAAAATAATTGTGATATTATTAAATAGTAATAATCTACAAAAAACAATAAAGATAGTCTTTCCTAAAATTCTAATTTTACGTTGATACAATGGGACACTTCCAAGTAATCCATAGATTTTCTTCTCAGAAAAAATGGGTACAAATAATCTAGCTTTCTCTAAAGTCTCGTAATAATCTACAAAATACAATAAAGATAGTCTTTCCTAAAACTCTTTTTTTTTTACATTATTACAATGGGACACTTCCGAAATCCATAGATTTTCTTCTTAGAAATAATGGGTACTAATAATCTTGCTTTCTCACCATAATACTCCCGCTTGAGAGTCTCGTAGGTGAAGAATGAGGTGCCCGCATAGGGAATTACACCCAGGACCGTCGCCCAGTAGCCACGGAACAGAGTACGCGGACCCTCCTCCACCCAGATCTTGGTGAAGACCTGTCTCAAGGTCCGATAGCCTGTATACCGATCTGTGACAGCCATGCGGGCGCGGGCGAGGTCCAGAGGATACGTCAGTGACTGCGAGGTGATTCCTGCCAGGGAACCAGCCAAAAAACGACGACCTTTAGTGCTATTGAAATAAAGAAAGGATAGGTAAGTACATGTGTATATATATAAAAGAAAACCATCACTTACTTCGAGCCATCCTTGTCCACATGCAGGATGCGACGCCACTGCTCGTGGGCCGTGAACTGTATGGCTGCGTAGGGCACGATCCTGGCCATCGTGGCCGAGTTCCCCCGCCACAGGGCCAGGACGCCCTCGTTGTTGTAGGTGTTCTGCAGGTAGCGCAGCGAGGCGCGAAACGAGAAGGGAATATCGTTGCGGATCTGGAAGTTTATCTTGGTGCGGTCCAATGGGGCGATGACCGTCTTGGCCAGCGCCCCCGCCGCAGCTCCCGATATCAGGCTGATTACCACCTGGTCGATTTTCTGGCGCACTGAAAGGACAAGGAAGGCGAAATTAAAACAGGGTATTGCCATTTCTCATAAAAACCAATCATGTATAAAATAATACTTTTATATTTTCATACCAAAATGTGCGTCAATTTCATAGACTAATAATTGTAAATACATTAACCTAAATAATTAACCAACATTACTTTAATTTAAACTAGTTTTTAAACCTATAATCATAACTTTCTTTAACACCGAAATTTATCACATTTTTATTAAATTTATCATGTTTTTTTGGAATTAGCCTACTACGTAATGTCATCAATACAAGTTTTATAAAATAGGTACACAAATAAACATTTTAAATATAGTTTAAATAATATAGGAACTGTTTTTTTATGATTTTAAATATGTTAGGACATTTTTTTATAATTCCGTTTTGAGTCTTTTTAAGAACTTTTTTAAAACACTAAATTAAAGTAGTTTTTAAGCCTATAATCATAATTTTCTTTATAACACCGAAATGTATAGAATTTTTATTAAATTTATCATGTTTTTTTGGAATTAGCCTACAACGTAATGTCATTAATACAATTTTTATAAAATAGGTACAACAATTAAAATTTTAAATATGATTTTAAATTGATTTAAATTTATTTTATATGATTTTAAATATGTTGGGACCCTTTTTGATAACTCCCTTTTAAGTATTCATTTTAGTCCAAAAACCAAATAATCATAGTTCCCTTTGAGATTTACTTACTGGGCGTGACCTTGACGTTGGGAGTGACTGTAATGGCGGGTGTGGTGATTAGTCCTGATGTTTCGGATGGTGTCAACTGGGTGCGGGATGTGTCCGCCTCCTCCACGTCCGAGGGCGATGTCGCGGAGGCAGTGGTCATCGTGCTCGAGAGCTGACTACCCGTTGACTTGATGGACATGGCGATGTTGGGCTTCTCCAGGAGACGGCTCATGGCAGACTCTGGTTGGGGACCTGAAATCAATTACCATATCAATCCAAGCCGAGTGAGTACATTATATTGGTCCCACAAAAGCCGCGGGGGCTTATCGCGACCACTGATAAGAGCTCAATATGGCCGAAACTAATCTAAACCATCCGAAAATTGCTTTGCTTTTATAAGACTTCCCAGCAGAGACATAATTTGATGTGGGGGCGCAACTGAACAACTGCGGTCAAAATAATAGCTTAGAACTTGTGCTAAAACTAATGAATTGAGAAATAAATAATAATGCAAAGAAAAACTTAAATTATCCTTGACAACAAATTACAATTTTTTAAAATATTGACCGTATTTCATTATTATTTGCGCCAGAAAATTACT